GTCAGAAATCTTGGTGTAACCTTTGATGACCAGCTGACCTTCAAAGACCACATTGCAAAGACCGCTCGATCTTGCAGATTTGCATTGCACAACATCAGAAAGATCAGGCCCTTTCTAACGGAGCATGCTGCACAACTTCTTGTCCAGGCCCTTGTCGTTTCTAGGCTGGACTACTGCAATGCTCTTCTGGCTGGACTTCCATCAAGCACAATCAAACCTCTACAAATTATTCAGAATGCAGCGGTACGACTGGTCTTCAACGAGCCCAAAAGAGCCCACGTTACACCTCTCTTTATCTCCTTGCACTGGCTACCGGTTGCGGCTCGAATCAAGTTCAAGACATTGATGCTTGCATATAGAACAGCCACAGACTCAGCACCCGCCTACTTCCACTCACTACTACGAATCTAGATCCCCTCCAGAAGTCTGAGATCCGCTAGTGAGTGACGCCTCGTGGTACCATCACAGAGAGGCTCAAAATTACTTTCCAGACCATTCTCGTTCACCATTCCTGGCTTCTGGAACGATCTTCCCACCCCTATCCGGAATGCTGAATCCCTGACCATTTTCAAGCGACAGCTGAAAACTCATCTCTTTCGAAGCTACTTGACTTCATCATCATTAAAAAAAAAAAATCTATCTCTTTATCTATTCCTTCTCTTTCTAGCGTGTACTTATTTGAACAATGTCTAAAAACTTGGTATTACAAGCACTTCCTGTATCTGTTTGCCTCTTTTAAGAAGAATCACTTTATGTATGCCCAAATTGTAAGTCGCTTTGGATAAAAGCGTCTGCTAAATGTCTAAATGTAAATGTATGTAAATGTGATGAATAATGATGAAGATGCAATTTAGCACATTTATATTAATTTTAAATGTAATATTGAATAACACACCAAGTTAAAATCATAATGAAGTACTTCACATGTGCTTTAGTATGTTAGTCAATACCATAAGTTTACTACTTTAAAGCAAGACAAAATATTATTTAAATATAATGATTTACAATGGAACACTTTTAATTTGACATTATTATAAAGTTTACATTTTTAAAGTGCATTTAAGTTAAGAAAGTGATGAAAGTGTCTGTCTTTAAGTACACTTAAGTGGTCTTTTATTGCATAATTTGTATTACATTGTCCACAATTTTTGTGTAAGAATTAAAGTAAACTACAAGTGCACATTCAATACAATTAAGCACACTTCTTTTTCACAGGGGGGGTTCTGTGTGTGAATGAATTGAATTGAAAACAGCTAAACTCTGCTTACTGTTACACCCCTTAATTAATT